CTCCAAATTTATGAGCAACCTTTCCTTCAGTGATCTTACAATGAACAGGAGTTTTTCCATTGTAAATGAGTACGGAGCAATCAATGAATTCCGGCGAAATAGAAGATCTACGTGACCAAATTTTCCTGCTCCTCAGACTTTCTCTACTATGCCTTTTTTCGTGAACTACTAAATGACTCCTCTTGCTCCAAGCTCCCTTTTGTTGGCTTCTCGTTCACATCCTCGTCCAATTGAAACAAGCTTTCAATCAATATCTGCAGGCACATTATATAATTCCTATATGGAAATTCATTTGCGGAAGACCTCCACTCAAACATGAGAAAAGCTTCTGGGCCCGTCCAAGATGGGATGGGAGAAAAAAAGCGGAAAAAATCTGGATTGTGCATTGGTCGGAATCTCCGTAAAGAGTAGGTGAACGATGATGATCAAAACCAGGAGAAAGATCTGAAAAAAGGGGACTTGGATAGGATTTTGACCACGATCAAAAGATAGGAGGGGTTCTCTTTCTTTCATCACCGTCAAAAGAAAAGGCTACCAAAAAAAACCTTTCCTATCACGGAGATCGTTAAAGAAAACATGGATCCAAATGCCAAAGGGGAAAAATGGTGGAAAAGCTTCTCAAGGCCTCGTCCTCCTCACCGTGCAAGCATGGGAAAAACGTTATGTGCTATCATTCCGGGGAGAAGGGTCATCTTGCGGAGATCTGCAGAAAAGAGGCGACCCGCTTCATTTGTGGTGCCTTCGGCCACAGATCCTTCTACCGTCCTAGGCGAGGGAAGCAAGGTAACCAAGTAATCCTCTTTCTTGTGCTTCAGCCCTATGAGGATATGGTGAGAAACGTGGAACATTTGAGAAAATGTGTTGTGTCGTTGAGGGGAAGAGCTTTTCTTTCGAAGGCATCTTTCTAAAGGAAGAGTGCCCCCTCCATTTGGATACAGTTTCTGATTGTTAGCTATAATATATGGGTGTATTGTCATTCAAGTTCTATAGATGGTGTCTGTCTCACTATCTGTTTGAGTGCCTGAAGGCCCTTGGAGGAGTCGTTCTGTGAGTTGTATTCAAGCTCGCCCTTAGACCGAGTCAAGTTAGCGATAAGATTCAGCTACTTTGGCCTTGTCATTCTCTTTGTTTCCATATAGATAGGTTGGAGTGCGGGTGGGCACTAACCCAACGAACAAACTTACGTGTAGGTGTGATCCTATCTGCTCTTCCACTATAGGACTAGAAATCCAGTACAACCATGTCCCTTTCTTAGGGGAAAAGCCCTCTTTGAAGGAGAATCCACTTCTGAGCGCCAAAGGAGGGCATCCGACATCACCAAAAAGAAGGAGAAAGGCATTCAGGCACCGCAAATCCAAGAAACTCCGAATACAGGCCGGCACAAAAAGCGAAATGACCAAAGGGATTGGGGCTGTTTCGGCACCAAAAAAAGTGTCACTATGCTAAACACATCGAATATCCGTCTCTTTATGTGGGAGCGAACCATCTTCGCTTACGGGTCTACCGATCCTATAGCTCCGATATAGATTTAAGTAACTTGGCAGGAAAAAAAATGCGGAAAAACGGTTTTGGATGGAAGAGGTAGATGAGAAAGACTTTCCACTTAGAGTCAGAAGTCCACGCTAGATGACCGATCTTTATGACCTTGAGGAAAATTACCTATCTGGAATTAATACACCAAAATTGGTTATTTCAATCGATCCACGAAAGGAATTGATCACCACGATAATGTGACGCAAGGCAAAATCTGTAATCAACATCAGTTATGTGAAATAGGTCATTTGAGAAGAAAAAAAGAGAATAGGACAATCTATATGTTTAACACAAGCAGTTAAGTCGATAGCTTTCTTAAGGAACAACTAAAGAAAACGCTCTCACGAATCCTATTTTCTGATTATGTATGCCGCGATATTACGATTTGGAGCTTTGATCTGGCCATGTAGAGCACTCATAGAGGTCCGGCTTCACGTCAGTAATCTACCACACCCATGCTGGAATTCAGTAGAGTCCCACGAGTCAATCGACAAAAGCGAGAAACGAGGTTGTTCGACAAGGCTACGGTCTAACTTTTTCTTCCTAGCGGAGTTCAATACGAAAATAAAGGCGCTCCGCGTTGGGAATGGCATACTACGTACGGGTGGTATTTCAGGTATAACTGATCAGGGTTGTTCTGAAAGCAAGTCAATTGGTGCTTTGGAAAGTGAGTGCCAGAGGCTAGTGACTGCTTGGTTTACAGAAGGGAAGGAAGAAAGAGATACCGAAGCAGATTCAGTATAGAAAAGAAGAAATTGATACCATTCATTCCAGTTTATTTGATACCCACTTAAAGTTTCTATCAAACCATGTCTTTTTCTTTGAACGTCAATCTCGTAGGAATTTCGACTGGAAGTGTGGTATTGAAGGGTGAAGCCTTTACTCTTTGAGTTGTTTCTTTGAATATAACATAATATTGATTGCGCACTTCGAAAGATGATGGTGTATTCCGAGGATCGGTCGGTTT